TCTGAAAGAGGCCGCTTTCACGTCATTGATTGAGTTCATAGGGTCGTAGATGTAGACAATTTTTAGCGTGATGTCCATCTTGATAGAGGGAGAAAAAAGGGAACACTACTAAGCCTATCTAAAGGTTTAGAGTTCTTTTCAACCTTGAAATGCGTCGGCATGTTAGCACTACCGTAAAGTCCGGATTCAGTAAGACGGTGGTAAAAATATACTCGGTCAATACTAATTTCATAAAAAGGCTCATATATTTCCGAGTGGTAAAAGTCTAAACTGTTCACCGCCACCCACGCACAGCCAAGTCCTTAATACCATCCGTCCCCACTTCTTATTTGGTGATGATTCGTCGGCCAAAAAACACTAACAAAGCTAAATTTAAGGCTCTCGATCGCGGAGCGAAGACCGTGGTCGCTGCTGCCGCGGCCGTGGGCGTGAATCGATCAACGTGGTACCGCCGGAAGAAACAAGAAGCCACCATCAAAGTTGCTGCACATAACACAGCTACCATTTTCTACACTTCCCGAACTACAAAAATGTATGTTCGGAACCCCAACCCAAAAAAAAGTAAGTTTTTTATTATTATTAAATTTTATGACTGTGCTGATCTTATTGCAATATTTAGACTGCTTGATTGGATCGTGGAAATGCGCAAAAATCGTTACTTGTGTGTATCAATGGCGTGCATGCTGATTATGCTTGCTCGTTACGATCCTGAGCGAGCTAAATATCGCACTCGGCTCGGAAACCTAGCGTTTTTAAAGCGCTTTCTCAAGCGCAACCGCCTTACTGTTCGCCGAATTACGCAAAAAGGCAGAAAGAAGCGCTCTGACATGGAGGTAAAACAATAATTCTATACTGTGCATATTAGTTCCTACCAAATTTATTGTTTGTTTTTTATAAAAAATATTTTTGATGAACATTTTACCTTTGTTTTAATAGATTTGGCAGCCAAGCGTTGATGGATGCCGACTGCTCATACTTGACAGTCTTAAAGTCAATAGAATGGCTTCACTGAGAGCGGTACTGGGTAAATGCTGTACACAGTTGCAGTTTGTGTCTTCCGGAATTACGGGTTTAGGTCAACCAATGGACGTTGCTGTGATGAAGCCGTTCAAGGACGCCTTCCCGTACGTATGTATTTAGTATTTGTACGAGAGGGGGTGACATCATTAAGTAATATTGCATGCTGTCTTTTTTTTGCCAATGAGGATGATCTTTTTACGACTGTCGCATTGAATCCGTTTGTCTTACTGAATTCGGACTTTACGGAAAAATTGATTGTGTCAATCCAATCCGCAGCCCTGTCCACTTGTCGAATTATTCTTGTCGCAATGTGCCATTTCTTCATCGCGTCAACCGTTTTAGTCGAATAGATGCCGAGTCTAAGACTTTCCACAACTACTTCCTCTTCTCCTATATTCTTTTTCGTTGATTAGTTCGTGTGTTTCTGCTAGCCCTCCTTTTTTCACGTATTTGTCGATGTAATCCAAACGCAATACGCACGTCACTGAGGTGACCGGGGGTGACGTGCTTCGGCGAGGTCATGAAAGAAATCTTGATGGTTATCGGCACTATCGATTTCCTGGCGGAACCAAACACCTTGAAGGGTCAGATAAGTGTGGCAGAAGAAGTGATGTGGGTCCATTTCTGACTGCCTGTAGAATTCTAGCGAGAACTAACATCAATGGACCCATTATAGGGTCGTCTTCTGCCATCGAAATTGTTTTGTTTCGAGCAGCCTTCTTTGCTTTAGAAGTTATTTTCGAACGCCCACGATACTTCGGAGGGCTTGCCACTTCAAATGGGCTATTATTTGCTAATTCCATAGTGTTG